ACGTGCCCTACGATGCGGAGACAGGAGACAGGGCTCCTGGAGGTGATGCGGTGGGCTCGGCCCGGGGTGGCTCCACCTGCCCCCAACCACCCCTAGGCCCTGTGCAGTCCCCAGCCAGGCTCCTGGGACCTGGGGGCTGACCTCAGAGCTTGTGGGGGGCAGGGCTGCTGAGAGCCACAGAGGAGCAGGGACAGGGGAAGAAGGGGGCCAGGAGGAGGAGCAGCGAGCGGAGGTGGGTGCACTGCCCTGCTCTGGGGCTCCTCCCCAATATCGTGTTCTCCGTGGGGTGAGCGGCAGCAGCACCTTCACTGGGGGTTACCGTTTCCTCCAAGCCCATGAGAGGGAGGACTCCCTCCTCACCCAGCCTGGTTCTGCACCCACAGGACGCTGACCCTGAGTCAAGGGCATTTCCCCCTCGCTGCTCTCTGGGGGTGTTGGGCATCAGAGGCAGAGACCCCCTGAAGTCGGGCACCTAGGGAGGTTATGGGGTAGTGCAGGGAGGAGGCGGTGGCTAGGTCCTGAGGGACCAGGTGAAGAGGCTCAGAGGCCAGCACCGGAAATGGACGTTGGCTTCCTGCGTCCTGGGGTGGGGGCACAGATGGGGGGGACAGGGTGGCTGAAGCCAGTCAGCAGGGGTCCAATGAGGCCTGAGGAAGGCTGAGGGCTCAGTGTGAGAGGAAGGGGGCTCTCAGGGGCTCTTTATCTCCACTAGCAGGGGCAGGGACACAGGCCAGTGTGGGGAGAATACCCATGGGGTGACAGTTATAGTCCCAGACACCTCCAGCCTTCCTGGCCACTGTCCAGTGACCCCACAGCCAGGAGGGGTGTCCACACTTGCCCCCCTCTTCCCACCTAGAGGGAGGCTGGGGAAACCCTCTGTCCCTCTGAGGCTCTCCACAGGAAGGACAGTTCAACGCTGTCCACAGTGTCCTCTTTACTTTTTGTGGAGCTCTGCCACTGAGCCACGTCCTCAGCCCCTTGTTCAGATTTTATTTTGAGCCAGTCTCACGAAGTTGCTGAGGCTGGCCTTGAACTTGCGATTCTCCTGCCTCAGACTCCTGAGTCACTGGGATGACAGGCAAGGCCACCAAGCAGGGCCAACATTCAAAGTTCTTCATGAGGTATCTGAGTGGTCAGGCTTCCCCCTGGGCCACTACCTATTGCTCCCCCAAAGGCCACAGAGGGTTGACCGGCTGACGGGTTCCCCTGGCAACTGCCAAGGAGTGCCCCTGCCCACCCTTCCCTACCCCACCCCTGGAAACTAAAGGGTGGACGCCAGGCTGGGCGGGGGGCTTCCCACCCCGCTGGCAGAGGCCTCTGCCCCAGGCCTAGGGACTGGCCGCGCCAGGCTCCCGGGGACCCACTGCCAGCCTTGCTCAGCAGCTGCTTGGCCTGGGACACTGCCCCCACCCCTGGGGCCTGGCTGTCTGGGCTCCGCCTCGCCCCTGAGGGCTGCGGTGGGCTCTCTCCTTACTTCTGGACCTTGGCACCTCAGCCCAACTGGGCTTTAGCAGAGGGCTAGTCTCTGGTCTTCTGGGGCCCCCACAGGCGCTGTGGGGGAGCCCCATGTTTGTGTACTGGAGTTGGGTGGACAGCAGGATCATGGAACCACAAGTCACCTCACCTTGCTGGGGCTCAGGGACACAGAGATGACATAGGGACAGGAGAACGTTTGGCCCACTTCATGAGGGCACACGGGAAAGTGCGGCTTTGATATCACAGGCCTCAGGGCCAAGGATGGGCTCCTTCCTAGGAACTGTCTCCTTTAGCCTCTGCACACAGGGTAACCAAGGCTGGCAGAGGGACAGGACCTTCCCTTAGGTCACAGGTTGGGGACTACAAGGAGGCCCCCTGCCCGGAAGGCTGAGTGCCTGGAGCCTGAGGCCCAGGTGGTGGCTGTGGGTGGGTCCTCCCCTGGCCAGCGCGCCCTCAGCTGCAAGGCCTGTCCCCAGGTGCGGCTCTGTGGGCTTCAGCCTCTGTCCCCTGGGAAGCTGGGCAGAACCCTGAGCTTGGCCCTCAGGCCCCCGCGGCTGCATGCCCAGCCTCTCCACTGCCTCCCCACAGCCCAAGCAGGCCACGTTGCCATAGGGACCACAGAACAGGTAGCACCGGCACAGGGACCCACTGGGCCTGTTGCCCCAGGTGTGAGCAGGCACACCTGGTGGCGCGCGGGGGCAGGGAGGCCGGCCAGTTTCGTTTTGAGGTAGGCCTCCTCCTTCCTCACCCTGCGCTGTGGCTGGCTTTCTGGGAAACCCTGTAGCGGCTTCCTCTGAACCCTCTTAACCCGGCCGGAGTCCTCAGTGAGTTCCGGCACCAGGCTTCCTGCCGGAGACACACCTCCGCCCCAGGGCCCACCCATCCACCTTCCAGAAGGTTCTGGGGTGCCCCTGCCAGCATCCCCTTTACACTGAGGCCTAGGCTCTGGACTCAGAAGCTTGCTGGCCCTGGTAAGGGCTGTCTCTGATCATGGCCTAGCCCCTTTGCAACTGTGGACTCAGGGCCAGGCTGTCCTCTGGGGAGGTGTCCTGGGCACTGCCGGGTGCTGGACTGTGGCCTCCACCCACACCAGGTTAGGAGCTCTCCCAGTCCCGAGAGCCACCAATGTTCCCGGATGTGGCCAAATGTCGGGGCAGGGATGGTGGTGGTCAGAATTAGCCCAAGACCTACCCCTGGGCAAATAACAGCTGGAGTGTCTCGGAGCAGTGGCCCCATGGAGCACCCCTGGGCACTGAGAGCAAAACACGTTCCACCTCCGCAGCAAAATAAAATGTGAAAAGCACACTAGCAACTTCCCTTCAACCACAGGTTAAGTGCTGACACTCTGCTCCACCCGGTCACAGAAACACTCCAGGTGAATGCCACCCGTCTCCCTCTGGTTCCTGGGCAGGGTGCAGCCTGGAGCCTGAGGCGCGGCCAGCTCTACAAACCTGTTTTGTCGTTACCTGCCCCGCCCGGAGCCCCCAGCACTCAGCGCTGTTAGGGTCAGAGAAGGAAATGCAGCCGTCCCAGGACCAGGGCAGGTCCCATGGGGAGAATTCCACAGGATGAGCTGGCAGGCGGTTGCCCAGGACCCCGAATTAATAACTAAAACCCTCAGGGCTGGGGTGCAGCGGGGTGGCAGAGTGCCTGCCTAGCATGTGCCAGGTTCCACGTCCCATCCCCAGTACCGCATTAGAAAACAGCATTGCGCCTCACTGAGTGGGGACTCAGGCGGGTCCTCTGTGGCCAACGGCCTGGTGGGGGGAAGCCAGTAGTGACCTGGCTGGTGCCACGTGCGGCTGGGGAGCGTCACAGTGAAGGAGCGTGCAGGCATGGGAACGGGGTCTGGCCTGCTGCCAGGCAGGCACACTGCCCTCTGGGGTGCTGCTGCCAGGCAGAGCTAGGGAGAACTTGGCAAACGCTCCAAGCCATCTTCCCCCAACCACAGGTCTCCCTGCTCTCCTTGATCTGGGTGTTTCTGCCACCCGCACATGGGGCAGTGGTGCCAGCACACCGTCTTTTCTATCTACTCATTTTGTGATGCTGGACATGGAACCTGGGCCTCAAAGGAACTATCCTCTGGGCCACACCCCAAGTGGCCTTTTTCCTTGGTCAAAACGAGGAACCCAACACTTTATGAAAAGTCTCCCAACCACAGGGAGCTCGGGGAACAAGCTGGGAGCGCCCGCGGCCTGCTGCAGTGCCACCTTGCAACTCACGCCCCAAACCAACCACAGGGCACGATTCACAGAGCCCGCCTGCTGCCCAGAGAAACGGTGGCCAGCAATGGGAGCAAGGGCCAGGCGTCTGGGCCTCCAACTGTAGAGAAGGGCCGGCCTGGATTAGAGGGTGGCCAAGGGTGGGGATGTCTGCAGGCAGAGTGGGGGAGGCAGTGGAGGGAAACGGGGAGGCCAGGGTTTGTGTTCTTGGCAATACCCGGAGCAAACCCAGGGCTGCTCTCCACTGAGCCACCTCCCCAGCCCCTTTTATTTTTTGAGACAGGGTCTCCTTAATTTGTCAAAGATGGCCTTGGACTTGCAGTCCTTCTGCTTCTGCCTCCCAAGAACCTAAATTGTAAGAGGGTTTGGGCAGAAACCAGCAACGCTGTTTGAATGAGGCACCAGCTCATGTCCTCTTTGGTGTCTGCAGAAAAAAAAAAAAAAACAATACAGACTAAAAAGTCTCAAGAAAAGGATGGTGCTCTGGTTGGTTCCCCGAGGACCACGAGCTCCTGCCCTCTGCAGCAGCCCAGGGCCTGCAGCCCATCTCCTCGAGAGCCCACAGAGAAGTGCGGCCTGTGCTCCGTGCTCAGGAGCATGGAGGGGCTGCTCTGGGCCGCAGCTACTTCAGAGGCCAGAGGGAGGCCTTGCAAGCAGCCCAGATGCGGCTTCCCTGTGAGTGGGCAGGACGGCTGGGCCTTGGGCCGTGCGGGGACCACAGAGGAGGGCCCAACAGGAATGAAGGACGACACGGGAACTGGGACAGGACCTCATCCGCTTTGCTTGTAACCAACTGGGGCTGAGCAGCTGGCGGCCCTCGGGAGAGTGACGTGCCTGGGCACTGGCTTGTGATTCGCGGGGCAGGCACCGGTGACAGCCACCACATCTGTGGGGCCTGTTGCAAGTGCAGGGACACAGGCCTTATCTGCTGCATCTGCTGGGGTTTCAACCACACAGAGCGTGGAGACCAGCACTTCCTCTCTGCAGAGCTGTTTCAGCTCAGCCCCGGGGAGGGAGTGTGCTCCCTGGAGCCTGGAGAGGCCTCCATGGTGCGCTGGGCAGGAGGCAGGGCTGCCTCCTGTCCAGGCTGCATGACGAGGGGCAGAGCAGCCAGAGGGGGAGGCAAGGAAGTGGTCCGCTGCAGGCCCCTGGCCCCCGGCTTTCCAGGTGAGACGCTGAGGCGGGGCCTGGGCACTGGGGCTTCAGCCCTGGAGGACAGCGGTGGCCCTGATCCTCGCCAGCCTCCAGGGGAGAGACCAACATGGAGAAGACCCGCGCAGCAAGGAGGCACAGTGGGCAGCGTTTGCTTTTCCTCTCCCTGTTTTGTTTTTAAACTAAGTAAGCAGGTTCCTAGACGGTGACAGGAGCAGTGTCCCTCCCAGGCCAGGCAGCAACCCAGGGGACATGAGGACACAAATGTTCCCGGGGCAGGAGGGGCCAGAGGGCGGGCACAGATGGGGCAGGCAGGCAGGCGGCCAGACACGGGAGCCGGGTGGCCGTCACACAGCGGTGCGCGTGGGCGTGCTGGGCTGGTTCAGCCGCAGGGTCCTGCACAACCAGCCGGCGAAGTCCACCTCTTCAGCCTCTGAGCGCTTGATGAAGGCGTGGCCCTGCAAGGGAGAGGAGCTGAGGGCTGGGCACGGTGGCCGCCGTGGCCGCCGACCCAGGGAGTGCCAAAGGCCACCCAGGACCACATACTTGGCTTCAGAGGGGACCCAAGTGCAGAGAGCGGAAGTAATGTAGAAATGACACAGAAGTGAAGCCTGCACTCCCTTCAGCATGCTGGACACAGCGGGAGGGGCTCTTCTCTGGGGTGGGTGTCCCTGGCCTCTACTGGGCAACCCCCGAGACGGGACCACCCCAGCCAAGGACATCTGATCAGGAATAGCCCCATCTGCCAAGGGAGCTCTCTGCAGGGTTCCCAACTCAAAGATGTCCAATAAGACAACCACTGGCCACAAAGCTCTGGAGCCCCGAAATGTGGCTCAGGGACGAGGGTGCACTGCTGAGGAGCTGTGGCAGGAGGGGCTTCAGGGTCACCAGAGGGTGTCATTTGGGATACATGCCCCTGATTGAGTCAAGAGCACAACTGGACTGGCACGTCCAGTTGGCTGGCACAGGAGTGGTGAGCAGGCTCCTACTGGTGCCCGGGCTGAGCCAGGGCCTCCCGTGTGCAGCAAGTGCTAACCACCAAGCCTTGCCCCAGAGCCCTGGGTGACTTTCAAGAAGGTGTTCAGACACCTGGTGCCCTGCTCCACCGCCCTGCACAGGTGTTGCTTCTGTCCTGCACTTAAGATCTGGGTGGGTGCAGGGCCCTCTAGAGAAGCAGCCGGAGACGACCCCTTCCCACCCAGGCCTTGTGTTCCTACCACAGCCAAGGGTCTCAAAACTCAGCTGTCCCCACAACCAACTGATGGGGGCCATCCTGGAGGAGGCACTGAAGTGGGCCTCCTGGGCAGGGGGCAGCCAGTTGGCACAAGGGCATCCAAGAGTCCTGAGGTGAAGCACTGCAGGGCCCAGGAGGGCACAGCGAGGAAGCGGCAGGCTGTGCAGCCTGACCCATGGGGCCTACTGGAGCCACAGGCAAAGGGCACGGCTTGCATTTTCAAAATGCCCTGTATGGACATCTCCACCGTGGACTTGGGAGGCTGAGAATCAACGTCTGTGTCTCTAACACAAAGCTCTTTCTTGGGGCACATGAAGCAGCGGCTATCTAGGATGGACAGCAGCTCAGACCCGATGAGGCCTGCTGACTTGTGCTGGGGACATGCTGACCATGGGCGGTGGATGCGGCTGGGAGGGCTCGTGTCGGGCCGGCCTGCCCGCCCAGGAGAACATGCTGGCTGGGCCCGAGGTGGCTGTCTCCCTCTTCCCACCTGCTGGGGAGGCGAGCTCTGGCCAATAGCCGGGTGTAGCAAGAAGTGTGAGCTTCAAGGACACCTGCAGTCACCTCCAGGGTGCAGAAACCCTGGCCTGCTTGGGGGAGTCTGGCCAGGGCAGAGCATCTGAGCACACCAAGAGCACATCCCGAGCCTCAGGGGGACACCGCCCAGAGCGACAGAGCACCCAGGCGCTGAGTGGGACTCACTCAGGGTGTATGACAAAGGCAGTCACCTCGCCAGGCCACAGGAGCTGGGAGCTGCTCAGGACTAAGGGGCCGGCCCATAGCCACCCAGGGCCTGAAGCGGGCACTGCCCAGGAACCCTGGCGCCATCCTTCTGCTCGCCCAGCCCTGCAGCCCAGCCAGCTTGGACTCCTCCTGCTCGCTCACAGCAGGGCCCCACGTGCACCCTCTCCACACCCAGCCCAGGGTCCGAGGGCACCACTCACCATGAGCATCTTCAGATCTGCTCGTTCTGCTGGGTTCTTAATGAGGCTGGGGACAGGCACAAGACAGGGCAGTCAGTTGGTGGCTCGGGGGCCCAGTGTTTTGGACTGTGGTGAGGCTGCCTGTGTCACCCCAGCCCATGAGGAGACCTGTGTAGGAGCCTGGGACTCTGGTTCAGTGCTGCCCAGCCACCTGGCTCCTGCCCAGACAGACAGGGGGCTCCATCACTGCCTCCGGTCTCCAGAGCAAGACACCCCCAGGAGAGAGTAGGACAAGGGCCTGAGGGGGAGGCAAGGGGAAAGGGGCGGGAGCCCCTCCTGCCTGGGCACAGCCTAGTAGCAGCCATAGATGTGTATCTTTCTACCACATCCCCAGCTCTGGTTATTATTGGAGACGGGGTTTGCTAAGTTACCGAGCTTGGCCTTGAACTGGTCACCCTCTTCCCTCAACCTCCTCAGCCCCTACAGGTAGATCTCTAATAAAAACGCCAAGCTCGGAGGCCCAGGGTCAAAATGGAAGTTTTTCCTTTAAAAAAACAGAACAGCCTGAGGACAGCAGCTCAAAGCAGCTCGGGGCTGCAGGGTGGTTCTCAGACACAAAGGGCCACCAGGGCACATCTGATGGGTGACATCCACAGGAGGCTGCCTCCAGGGCACCAGGGTGCTGCATGAGGCCCCAGCATGGACACTGCTGGTTCCTTGATGGGCAGGAGAATCCAAGTAGGAGACCCCAGGAGAGACCTGCTGGGCAGGCACTCCTCCCTCCTGCCAGTGGACAGCAGGTGGCCGCTGCGGATAGACCAAGGGCCTAATCCAGGTTCATACACAATTTTGGGGGCAAGCGGGGAGGGCAGGTGGGAGCCACATCCCGGAAAGGGCCTCTGGCTCTCCTGGGGGTTTTAAGTGCCTGCCAAATCCTGCCACCGACCACTCAGGGTTCTCGAGGGACAGGCTGGGCATCAGTGGGACCGAGAGCAGGCAGAGCTCGAGTGAGCTAACGTGGGTCAGGGCCCTCCTGCCCCGCTGTGCGCGGCCACGCCAGTCCTCACCATTTATGCACGAACTCCTGGAAGTGTGGGCTGAACACGCCACTGGGTAGCTTGGGAGGTGGCTGTGGGGAGATAGAGGGCAGGTCAGCACATGTGGCCTTGGGCCCCCCACCTGACCTCTCCTGGCCCTTGCTGCAAGCAGAGAACACCCTCCCCTCTTCCCACTGCACAACGCACTGACTGGGCACGACGGGGCAGAGCAGGGCAGGCTTATCATCCCGTGGACCATGCCATCCCTCCAGGACCCAAGCCTGGGTTGCTGCCTCCCTGGTCAGCACTGCACAGGCCAGCTGCCGCCCAGGTTTGTGCGCAAGCACTGTGGGGAGTCTTGAGGTCTAGCCCTGAGAATGACCCCAGATAGGGGGGCACCTTGATGCTCAGGGTGTTTGACGTGCTCACAGCACCTGGGGATTCCTGCCAATGGCAGGGAAAGCCACGTCACCAGGGCCACCCCATCCTGTCATTTCACCACCTAACCAAGGGACAAGCCTAATCCTGCAGCAGACTGGCCACTCTGTCATTTCCCTGGCTCTAGTGGACCCGAGGACCTGGTGAACAGGGTAGTTCCAGGGTCCAGGCTGTGTCCCTCCTGATTACCAGCCCTGAGGTCACCGGCTCGTCTGCGCAGGACACAGTCACACTATCTGCTTTTGGGGCATCTGGGAGGAGCCATCAAAGACCCAGAAAGAGCAGGAAGGGAAAAAAATGGCCCATTCCCCAGAGCCCTGCTGCAGAGTCAGCCCATCCCTCTGGAGCGCAGCGCCTCCCCAGACCAGGGTGGCAGGGAAGGGGATTAAAGCACTTGACTCCACGATGCTCAAACTAGGACTAGGACATGCTGGGGGACAGGGCCTGAGGCGCAGCCTGGCTCTGGGCCCAGCACACGCAGACTGGGGCATCTCTGGATACAGGGAGGGGGTTGCAATGGGGATTCTGGGTTCGTCTTCATTAAGGAAACAAGACCCCCTGGGGAAGCGGATAACCTGTACGGTCCGAGGGGAGAGGTGGCAGTGGCTTGCACACCAGACAACCGTCCACAAAAAGGAGCGCCCCAGGGCGGCCCCCTTTCTTGGGCAGCACATGGGCAGAGTCCCTAGGAGGAACCAGCACCGGAGGCCTCCTCACGCACCTCATTCACAATGTAGTCCAGCAGCTCGAAGATGGCCATAGCTGGCCGGCTGTCCATCCCGTGACCTACACAGTGGGGGACAGAAGTGGGTGAGACTGGCAGATGACTCTGCCCCTGTGCAGGTGAAGGTCTGGGGGCGCTGGGCACACTGGGCGCCATCATAGCCACTAGCTTATGGCAGCAGCAAAACTCTGGGGAGGTGGCAGTGGCCAGAGCCTGGCCTCTGGCTCCTGAGCTTGCTCCTTGGGAAGAGACTGCTCTCCTGAGCCCCCCATGAACTCAAACAAAAAAGCTACAACAAACACGAGTGCTTTGGAAGAGCCACGCTTGGCAGTGCCTTGGGAGGTGCCACAGCCATGGCCCTGCTCCTGAGCTGCAGGCTGGGCGGGGGAGGGGGCCCACAGTAAGGACAGCAGCATGACCTTGCACAGAGCCACTGGTGGTGACAGAGGCAGGCCCCAGATGCCACTTGGAACAGGAAGCTGGCAGGGGGTGGCTGACCCCTGTCCGAGACCCAGCTGGCCAGGTCTGGGCTCAGCAGCTGGACTTTCGCCTCCTGCCTGTTCTGAAATGGGCACGGAGGCCAGGGCATGGGCTGGGGGAGGTGTTGGCAGGCAGGTGGCTGCCATCTAGTGGGGCTGGGAGGGGCAGGACCAGGCCTGAGGACAAAGACCTGGGAACTCTCCCCTGGAATGAGACCAAGACACCCATGTGGTCTGTCTGCAGCAGCACACGGAGTAGGAACGGGGCTTGTGGGTGATGCTGTCACCTCCCCACATGCCCAGCCATGGGGTGGCTAAACCCAGAGCAGCCCACCCTCAGAATGGAATATTATTGAGCCCTCAAAATGAGCATGGAGGTACCTGAGGACCTCGTGCTCATTGAGAACCAGACACAGAAGACACAGTGTGTGACCCAGTGACAGGACATGGATCTATGGGTGCAGGGGCTGGGGACGGGATGGGGGTTGCTCCTGGGGACAGGGCTTCCTGTTCAGGTGATGGAATGCCCTGGAACTAAAGGTGGCAGGACACTGAGGTGCTGAAGCCCTGAGCTGGGCACCTGCCCGAGGTGTGGCAGGGTGTGGAGGTCCTGCTTCAGCAGAGCGGCGGTGCTACCGCAGGCCCTCAGGGCTCACCCTGACTTGGGAAAGACAGAACCCCAGGGGTCCAGAAACTGCTCTGGGGCTCTGCTGCCTGTCCGGGACCCTCCCCTACACTCTCCCCCAGAGTGAGCGAAGTGTCCTCATGAAGGGTTTCCCGCATCCTCCAGGGCCCTGGTGGTCAAATCCAATAGTCCTAAGGATGTTCCGAGTCAAGGTCTTGGGTTTAGAGCTCCGGGATGGCCCGGCCCTAAGTAGTAGGTGCCCAGGGGCAATTCCTGCCACTCAAGTGCACAGTTGACGTTTCCCTGATAAAATGCTGGAGAACCCATCCAGCGACCTGGCCAGCTGCTAGCAACAGCTGCGACACCGCGGGCACACCAGGTCTGGGGCGCTTGCTGTTTCCAGCTCGTCCCCAGAAACCCCAGCACCGTGAGAGGACTGCTGACTAGCTGGACGATCCAGGGGGACAGGTGGTGCTGAGGGAGCCAGAGAGCGGCAGCTGCCGTCCTGGGCACAGCAGTGCCTGCATGGGTCACACTACCCGCCAGGAGTCTCAGACTCAGGCCATACCGCTTATGGGGCGCCCAGGGGGTCTCGGCCGGGGTGAGGTGCTGTGGGGCTCTCCTTCTGCACCGTTGCCCACGGGCCTGCCGAAGATGGCCTCCAGCTCCTTGGCATCGGGTGGGGGAATGGGGTACCTCCCGATGGACAGCTCCACCAAGGACAGGCCCATGCTCCAGATGTCCGACTGCACCGAATAGTGTGTGCCTTGCAATCGCTCTGGCTGCCAGAGAGACGGGAGGGAGGAGTGTGCGGAGGGCCAGCACCTGCAGTCCAGGGACCACTGCGGACCCAGCCCGCTTCCCCAGCTAGGGACCAGAGCAGTGGGAGGATGCAGAGCCACATCCCTCCACGCCCACCATGTGTGCACGAGGCCTGGGGACTGAGGCCCCAGAAGCCCACAGCACTGGGAGCTTCTGGCAGAGGCTGATCCCCCCCTCTGTGCAGGGCGAGACTGGCTTCTCAGATCCCAGGCCCCCTGCAGGTTCCAGGGCACCCAGGTATCTCTGAAGGCACCAAGAAAGTCTGATCTCAGTTCAGAAAGTAGCAAGTGCCCTGGGCTGGATGGTGCCGACACAGGCAGGACACAGGCAGGTCTCCAGGAGGAAGAGCTGCTTGGGAAAGGGAGGGCGACAGGACTTGGCCGCAGAGGAAAGCCAGACGTGGAAAACAGACTAGGGGGACCCGTGGGCTCCCTGTGGGTCTGGGTGGGACAGGGGAGGCCTGGAGGGACTTACAGACATGTAGGACCGCGTTCCCACGAAGGAGTTGGCCATGGAATCGATGAGCTGCCCGCTCACCCCGAAGTCGCACAGCTTGATCTCCCCTCTGGAGTTGACCAGGATGTTGGAGGGCTTCACATCTGAGGACAGGGCCAGCCAGGAGTGAGGGGCCATTGGGCACTGCGGTGGCCCGCCAGGCTCTGGGGACGGCACGAGCCTCCTTACCTCGGTGCATGATCTGATGCTTTTCTCGAAGGTATGCCAGGCCCCGGAGAACCTGCAAGGGCCATGGACTGGGTGAGCAGGACAGGGGCAGCAGGGGCTGCCCTGGCCCCAGCCACATCTAAGTAGCCAGTGTCTGGAATAGGCCAGGGGGACCCTGTCTAGGTGGTGTTGACCTTCTCAGGCTTAGAGCCAACAGAGGCCAACAGGGAGGCTGGCCTCCAGTGGTAGGGGGCGTGTGCCAACTGTCTGGTTCCCACACAGCCTGTGAGGGGCGCGTTGGTCCCCCCTCCACTTGAAAGAGGAGGGGCTGGCGCACAGAGGCAGAGGCAGCCTGGGTCCTAGCACCAGGCTCAGCCCCACCAGCCCCACGGCATCTCCCGGGTGCTCAGGCTCGGGGCGTGCTAAGGAACAGGTTAAGGTTCCAGCAGAACTGAACGGGTTAGGGGCGCACTGGGCTGTTTTGCCAAGGGGCGCCTGGATGGCAGATTCCTCAGGGGGAAGTGGTCGACGATGGTGCCGACAACGGCTGTTTCTGGAACACTGAGCGCCAAGCCCCAGAATCCCATCAGCCCTCCACCCGAGTGGGCAGGTGCACCTCCGGTCATTTCGAGGGCTCAGACGCAGGCTCCGGGAGCCACGTTCTGTGGAGTCACAGAGCGGCAGGATCTAAATCCCCAGGTTCTGCCAACTGTGGGGCTGGGGCTGGGGCCGGGACGCCTGCCCCGTCCCTCAGCTGCCCAGAGCATTTTTGGACAGTGAGGGGAGAATGGGGTCAGAGGTTTATGTCTGCCCCAGGCTCCCCCTTCAACCACCCTGACCAACGCGACCTGAGACCCCAGCCAGTGGTGTCTGCCTGCCATAAGATGGAGGGAGGATGGTGGCCATTCTGCTCATAGTTGTTCAACTGAGACCTCGGCTAGGCCTGAGATGTAGGGGTAGGGACAAGGACAATGACAGAAAATCTTAAAAGCTAGAAAGGACCTGCCACCTTCACCCAGCGGATGGGGATCCAAGGACCCTCAGAAACTTGCTCAGAAGTCCCACAGCCAGTGGAGACAGAATTGGCAACTCTCTGCAGGGCCCCACAAGCACCCCCACGGCTTTGAGCAGCTCCTGGACCCTGGCCATGAGGAAGGGGCTGGCACAGGAAAGAGCGCCTCAGCTGGGAGGGATGCGCCGGGGTCCGTGGTGAGACTCACCGCAATGCTGACCTTCCCCAAGATCTCCTCGGGGATCCTCTTGGCCTCCTTCAACACCTGGTCCAGGGAGCCCCCGTCCTGCGTGAGAAACAGCTCTCAAGAGCCAGCCGGGCAGTGAGGGCTCCTTCTACTGCAGGAAGGCACCAGGCCAAGGCCAAGCACAGCCGTCCAGCGAAGGGCAGGGACTCCTTCAGCTGTGGCTTAGAGGCTGCAGGGCCACATCTACAGTAGGAAGTGAGGAGGAATATCCCAGGGCACTGGTGTGTGCCCCACGCCGCTTTCCAGTGTCCCACAGGGCCTGTTGCTGAGATGCCACTTTCCTGAGGTCACCATGGTAGGCGCTCTACTCTAGTTTCCACCAAAACCCTGACTGGGGACAGAGACAGACCCTAGGAGTTCACTAGGCTGTCTGTGCAGCCTGGGTGGTCGTTGGGAGTGGAACTTGAGCAGCTACCACATTGGCACATGCAAGCCACAAACCAGCTTCTCGGGCCCCTGTCCTAGCCAGCACGCCAGGTGTGGTGTCACAGGCATGAAAAAGGAGGAAGGGCAGGCTGGCTGGTGGTCCACAGCCCCACCCTCGCATTCCTATAGAAACCCAAGTGCTTCCGTTGCCAGCACCTGTTCAGGCTGCTCCCTGGCCTCCCTCTAGGGCAAGGTGAGGAAGGGCAGCTAATGCCTGTGGGCCCTGGCCTGCAGGAGAGGTACTCGGAAGGCCAGCTAGGGGACAGAGACATCTGAACTCTTCCTCTATTCTCCCGTCACCCATTCGTCATTGTGCCAGGCACCCTGCAAAAGACCTGCAGATACCAACATTTTGGTTAGTCTCCCACTGTGCCTGGGTCTGGCCCCAAGTCCAACGGACAGACGAGGAAACAGAGATTATGTGTCCTTCACAAGGTGCCCAGGAACAAAACCGGAGACCCAGGGGCTGCCCCAGGTGCCTGGGGAGGGAGAGGAGTCTGGGCCAGCCCTGGGCACCAGGTGGTGACACTGCCAATGCTTACTGCGGGCCAGAACCCTGCCAGGACTCTACTCTGGGTTGGGACACAGAGGAAACTGAAACAGGAAGTCTGGGGGCAGAGTTCTTGCCAACCTGTTTTGCAGGACCCCAAAGATGGCTTGGTTGCCAGGACATGCTTCTCTTCATTTGAGGGCAAGAGGAGAAGCAGCAGCCTCAGGGGTGCTGGGGCCCCCCTCTGCCCCACTGTGCTGTAGAACACTACAAAACCCTATGTGCTCTGAAGCTTCCAGGACCCATAGGTGACTATCGAGGAGCTCTGGGCAAAGGTGCCGGTCATGTGGGTAGAAGGACAGGTGTGGCCCCCGCCTTGAGAGCTAGGACCAGGTGCGCCAGTGAGCAGGACGACCAGGCAAGTGGCGCAGGAGGGAGTACACATGTTCTTCTTGCCCCATTCCCGCCTCCCGCCTTTGGTCCTGAGGATTTAGAGCCACCACTGAGCTGCATCCCCAGCCTTTTTTTAAAATCTTAAAATTTTGAGACAAGGTCTCATTTAACTTGCTAAAGCTGGCCTCAAACTTGTGACCCTCTTGCCTCAGCCTCTGGGAGCAGCTGGGGCCATGGACATGACCACTGTGCCTTGCTCTTGTTTGTATCAACTGAGTTTAAGAAAACTAGAAAAGCAAAAACGGATAATAAAGCTGGGGCTGTGGCTCGGTGGCAGAGTGCTTCCCTAGCACGCATGATGCACTGGGCTAGATCCCAGCACCACATGAAAATGAAAAAATAAAATAAAGATATTGCGTCCATCTACAACTTAAAAAAAAAAAAATCCTAGTAACAGCTCTTTTCATTTTAAAAATTTTGAAACAGGGTCTCACAAGGTGCTGAGCCTGGCTGTGAACCTGCCATTCTCCTGCCTCAGCTCCTGAGCAGCTGGGATGACAGGTGTGGCCAGTGCCACCTCTTTTCATTCCAACTCCTCAGAGCTGCAATAAATATGTGCAGGACGAAGAAACGGAGAGCGTTTGCTGGGAGGAGCCGGGGGCCCAGTGGGGTCCAACACCAGGCCAGGAATCTCCCCAGTGCACACAAAACCCCTCCATCTGCAGGGCGGAGAGGGGTGGTGGCTGCCTGCACATTTCCCACTGAGGACTTTGGGGCCAATCAAATTGTAGTGGGTGTCCTGGGCACTGCAGGTGCTAAGCAGCATCCTGGCCTTACCCACTCCATGCCAGGAGAATCCCGGTCACAACCAAAAGGTCCCTAGACATGGTCCACAGCCAGGGGCTGGGGGGTGCAGGGGAAAAGGCAGGATCAGCGCCAGGGAGCCCCAGCCTGCAGCTGGGGAGTGCACAGCCTGCCAGCATAAGTGGCCTGCCTGAGACACGGGACAGGATGTGGTGGGGAAAACACGGCGCCCAGGTCTCTGTGACACTGATCTCACTCTGCATGACTAGACACTTTTTTTGCATGTGTGTTTTAAATGTTCCTGAAAATGTGTTGCTATTGAGCAAGTAATACATGAATACATTTTCTTTTTTTTTTTTTTTTTTAAAGAGAGAGAGAGAATTTTTTTTTTTTTTAATATTTATTTTTCAATTCTAGGCGGACACAACATCTTTGTTGGTATGTGGTGCTGAGGATCGAACCCGGGCCGCACGCATGCCGGTCGAGCACGCTACCGCTTGAGCCACATCCCCCAGCCCATACATTTTCTTATTAGAAAATTCAGATGTAATGCTAGGTGTGGTGCTGCATGTCTGTAATCTCGGATTTGAGAGGCCAAGGTAACAGGATCACAGGCTCAACGTCAGCCTTGGCAACTTAGTGAGACTCTATCTCAAAATAAGACTTTTTAAAAAAGGGCTGGAATGAATCTTAGTGGTGGAGCACCCCGGGTTAGTCCCAAGTACAACAACAACAACAACAACAACAACAAAAAGGCAGGCAGTGATCACCCTCTGAGCCCCAGCAGTTCCACCTTCTGGCCCCAAAGTGTGACATACTCTTCTGGATCTTTCTTTTCTTTTTTAATTTATTTTTTAGTTGGACATATAGTTTTGTTTTATTTATTTTTATGTGGTGCGGAGAATCGAACCCAGGACCTCGAACATGCTAGGCAAGCACTCTACGCTGAGCCCAGCCCCAGCCCTCTTCTGGATCTTTCCATGCATTCACGCACATACCAACACGTAATGGGAAATGGAGTTGAAACAAACAGGCTCCCTCTGGCATGTCCTTACAGCCCCACACACGTGGACTGCACTCGTGCAGCTTCATTCCCCACCACGGAGCCGCTCGGTGCCTCGGGTTCCAGGGCTGTAGGCTCCTCACTGCTGTGCCTGGGACGCCTGGTCACAGAGCTGACCAGACCCCAAGAATGCTGAGGTACCTCTGTGTGGTCAGCACACTACAGCCGCCCTCTCTGGCCCCTGGCCCCACTGCTCGCTGGGTTCTGTCCTGAGCTTTTCAATAGGTTCAGGCTGCAGAGAAGCAGCCAGCCCCGCTGATCCCGAGTCCCAGGACCAACAGGAGCGGCGGGTGAGCTGGGCTATGTGCACCAAAGCTGTGCGGCTCACAGCTCGCCACGGTGTGGAGCTGGGGTGTCTCCTGAAGGCCCAGGGTTAGGGCTGCATCCTCAGCTTGGCACTGTTGGGAGGTGCTGGAGCTTTACAAGGTGGATCTGCTGGGAGGTTAGGCCACTGGGACTTAGTCCCTCCTCTTTCCGTCCCTTGCTTCTCGGCCAGTGGTCTTCCCTGCCAGGCACTCCCACCATGGCCTGCTATCACCACAGGCCCAAAGCAATAGCAAGCCAGAATAAGCCTCTTCTCTCCAGCCCGAGTTCCACAACAGAAAGCTCATATGGCGACAGTGGTCATCCTTACAGTTACTAATGTGTATATCAGCACATTAATCATTAGTTAGATAAAACACATCATGGTCATAATGACATGACCCACACAACTAGGAGTCTTTTCTTGAAAGCCAGACTCTACCAGACTGCAAACAAGCCATCTGCACATCAGTTTGTTGGGAGAGAGGCTGAGACCTCCCTTTAGATCAGGGACACTCCAACAACCCAGGGACGCTACTGTGGCCTGGGTGTGGTGTGGCCCTCCAAGCCCTGTGTGGAAACTCAGCCCCCCCCGCCCCGTACCAGCACTATCTGAGCCCTTTCAGAGGTCACAGGCTCCACCTTCATGAGGAGAGATGGATGCTTCTCTGGGTATGTGGCGGGGGTAGACTCCCCTGGAGGTGGGTGGCTTCTAGGACAGCGGCTATTAGAAAGCAAGCAGCCCTTTGTGCCTCCTAGCACACCTGCTTGGCTTCACCTCCCCCAGTTATGACTGTGCATGTGCAGACGCTGGCTGTGCTCTCAGACTTCCCCACCTTTAGAACTATGACCCAATAAACCTCTTTCCTGTATAAACCACCCGCCATGGCATTTTGTTACAGCAACTGAAAACACACTAAGCCAGGTACTAACCAGGCAGACTGTCATGCAACTGTATAGACTAAGAAATGAAGAGGATGAAGGAGGGTGCTGCCGTCTGCTCAGTGCTCACACAGCATTGGGTGCTGTCCAAGGCGAGCTTGTTAATGCTCACCCCTGACTGCCCACAGAGAGCTGCCAGTCTTGTCCAAAGTTTTGCGTGAGACTAGAGTGCATGTCCCAGACCAGTGTGCTCAGCCACGGCAGCCCCAGGACCCCCCCAGAGGCTCACTCCCACTTCAAATCTACACTCTGGGCTGTGGTCGTGGCTCAGTGGTAGAGCGCTCGCCTAGTATGTACAAGGGTTCCATCCTCGGCACCATATAAAAATGAATAAAATAAAAGTATAAAAAAAGATCTATACTCTAGTGACTCGGGAAGCTGAGGCAAGAGGATCGTGAGTTCAAAGCCAGCCTCATCAACTAAGCAAGGCCCTAAGGAACTGAGACCCTGACTTTAAATAAAATACAAAAAAGGGCCAGGGATGTGTCTCAGTGGTTAAGGGTCCCTGGATTCAATCCCTGGTACCAAAATCCACATCCTTTGCCCTGCCTCTTTCTGGTGCCAGGGATTGAACCCAGGGGTGCTCTACCACTGAGATATAGTCCCAGCCCTTTAAATTTTCTTTTTAAGGTAGGGGTCTCCAGAAGTTGCTAAGGGTCTTGTAAAATTGCCGAGAGTGGCCTTGAACTTGAAATCCTCAGCCTCCAAGTCTCTGGATTACAGGCGTGTGCACTGTGCCCTGCCTTTCGTCTGAGGTGTGGGTGTGTCGGCCACCCCAGGCTGCCGCGCATGTGCTGAACACTCCATCTCCTACTCCAGTGAGTCTGCCTGCCGTGGAAGCAAAGGGCAGGTCCTCAAAGCAGAGGAGGGCTCGTGGCTCCCTCCTGAGCAGGGGCTGCCTGGTGCCTGGCTACAGTGCTGGCCGCACTGGGACCACGTGCTAAGCACCCATCAGAGTGGGGGATAGGAGATGAAGCACCTTCCTTCCCAGAGGGTAAGCAGGGAGCCTCTGGAACCACACCCCAGCTAGGGAAGAAGGGGAGGAGGCAGGTCCCGCCCAGGGGGCGCTTTCTCCTCCCTCTGCCCTCTGGCCTTCCTGCACCTGGGCTTTGCAAGACAGACTCGCTCCTCCCAGGTGGGGAAGGGGCTCCCACATGAGTGGATTTGCTTGGACCCCACAGCTGAGTGGGACTCTTGCTCAAATTCATTTCCTGCCTCAGTTACAAAACTGTTGCAGGGGATGGTGTGCTTGCAAGGCTCAGCCAAGGGACATCAGACAACCAGTGCACCCTAGTTCTGCACGGGGAGCCCTGCGGCAGGCAGTCTGGCACCTGCAGCCAGGATGGGGGCCACTCCCCAGGCTCTGCAGCTCTCACCACTTCTGCTTTTGTCACCCTTGATCCCACCCATTTCTGAGTTTCCAAACCACAGTATTCCAACAAGGGGCCACACTGAGGCCAACCGTGGTGGTTCAGGTGCCTGGGCCCCACAGGACTAGGACCCCGGCTCTGGCTGGGTTGTGGGCAGGAGCACCCTTTCCAGCAGCAGCTCGGTTCTCCATGCTCCCCTGAGCCCAGCAACTGCACTGTGGATCTCGCCCCGTGGTGCTCACTGGCACGCCACACACAGCTGTACTCTAGATGGGGCAGCTCACAGGAGCAACTTGTGTGTCCCCCACAGGACCAGACAAGGACCACCCAGGTCCAGCACACTGGAAACACGGTGCCCCAGGCAGAGACAGGGGATTCTCTCTAGGCTGACCAGGGAGGACTTCCCCACCCTCCATGGAAACAGAGCTGAGAAGAGGCCCCGGTGACACCCAAGGAACCCTCTGAAGCTGCTGAGCTGCTGCCTCTGAGGACAGGGGCTCTGAGGCCCCGGCAGGGAGACACCTTCCTCCCTGTGGTTCCTGGCCGGGTGCTCACCATGTGCTCCATGCAGATACTGATCTCCCCGTCGCTGTAGAAGGCGCCGTAGAAGCCCACGATGTACGGGGAGTTGCACTCGTGCAGGACCTGAAGCTCGCGGATGATCTGGTTCCGGATGGCTGGCTTGATCTCCAGGTGGATCAGCTGCAAAGAGTTGACAGCGGGTTACCTAGGGGTGTCCAGAAATGCGGGGGGCGGGGGACTGGTCCCTTGGCCCTGGAATGCACCACAGCATTCAGAACCAACCGAGGACCCTGCAACCCCACTCTGAGGAGTCTTCCCAAGAGGAGAAGCGATTGCCCACACACAGCTGTGACCAGAATGTTCACCGCAGTCTTCACAGCAGCCAGAGGGGGAACCGCCCCCGTGTCCACGCTTCCTCCACGCTCTGGAGTGTCACTTGGCCATGAGCAGGAGTGAGATGACACAGCTGCAGTACAGATGGACCTCTAGGACTCATGCTCACTAAGAACCAGACACACAGGGCCAGAGTGGGTGACCCAGTGACAGGACAGGTCTAGGATAGGCAAGTCTAGAAACAGGATGTGAACTCATGGGGGCAGGGCCAGGGCCTGTTGGCTTAACCATACAGGATTTCTTTGTGGGGTTGTGAGAATGTTCTTGAATTAAATGCAGTGAGAGCTAAACAACTCTGTGAGTATGCTGTGTTCCAGCCAACTGTATACTTTAAATGGGTGAGTTGTATGGTGCCTGAATTACTTCACAACCAAGCTGTTTTTACAATGAACATGCAGAAAAACAACTATGGATTTCCTGGAGAGACGGTTAATCCTGGGGAGGAGGGTTTATATGGGTACGGGGCTGGGAGGGGAGGCGTGATTGCTCATGGGAACAGGTACCTTTTTAAAGCAATAAAGACATTCTCAAATTGACTGTAGTCATAAATGTGCAATGCTGAATGTATTAAAAAAGAGGTCATTAAATTATATATATATATATTTTTTAAAAAGGTGCCACTATACAGTCTGTGAATTACCCCTCCATCAAGCTGTTAAAAAAAAGGACTTGACAGACCAAACACTTTCCACTTGGGGAAAATAGGAGCTGTTAAAAGAAGCCCCCCTCAACCATCCTGGGCCCCTGGGACTCCGACTCAGCAACAAGTCCAAGAGGGGTTGGTCACTGCACTTGTCCCCTTAGACAGGGGTGGGCACATTTTGAGTCCTTTCTTCTTTCAGGCTGGGACATGACACCGAGGCCTGGGGCGTCTACCATTCCCTCCGCTGAAGCAGAAACTATCGACAATATTTCCAAAGGCAGGAAGATTGCAAGAGATGCAGAAAACAACGTAAGATGCCAGGAGCACCCCAACTACCTACCCTCAGGGAGCTGTCACCCACAGCCCAGGCAGGAGCTGCAATCAGAGTCAGCGTCCTGGCCACTCAGAACCTTAGACCTCAGAACTTCAGACGAGTCGGAGATGAGTCCTCTCATCTGCTAAGGCGAGACCAGGTGTGCACGTCTGAGGACAGCCGCTATCAGCCCAGCACACACTCGTGGAGTCACTGTGGACGCCAGCAATCAGAAGAAAGACCAAGAGGCCCATGCTCGGGGGAGCACGAGATGCCAGGCTGGAAATGCAGTCAGGAGGCCTGGCGCGCGGTCAATACGCTCAGGGAATGGCAGCAAGGTGACACTGGGCTGGGGCCCAAAGGAAATTGAGTTTAGGAGCCACCAAAAGGAAGAGCTGGGGAACAGCTGCCTGTGGGAGGGACCCAGGCAGGAAGAAGCACAAGGTGCTGGGTCCAGGGGCAGAGAGAGGCTGACAGTGTCCCCAACCCAGGGAGTGTATAGGGCATGCTCCCTGTGACCTTGAGGACCAGAGCTATGACCCAGGTCTTTCCCCAAAGCTAATGCCCACGCTGCCCCTCTGCTGCTTCTTTTCCGCGTGACCTGGCCTGCAGAGAGCAGCTGTGGCTTCGGGTCTCCGGGATGCAGCATTTTCACCCTGCCCTTCACAGGAGGCCACTGGATTACCCCAGAATTCAAGGACGCTCGTTACTCTGGAAGGATGCGGAGTGAGCAGATGACCAGTGTCTGCTCACACTTATGAGGGTGACAAACAAGCATGATTGTAAAAACCCAGAGGGTGGCTTTACTGGGCCTTCCAGATTGGGCCTGGCTGCTTGTCTGGCATATTGCACTGGCTGAGAATCAAACAGACCAGGGGACACTGGCTGCAGAGTGGGCTCGCCAGCCCCAAGGCTGCCCTGCACCTTTGGGGGTCTGCACTGGGAGACCTGTTGGGGCGCTGGCTCCCGTTCAATCTGTGCCCTTCAGCTGCAGTGCCGCACGTAGATGGGAAGGTCCTGGGCTCCCATTTACTACCTGGCACGAGAGGGACACACAGAAGAGTCCTTGACTGGCCTGAGAGCCCTTGCTCCCTTGCACTTGTACTCGGACAAGCACACTGTCCTCACATTAGTGCTGTGGGGAAGGTAGGCCCCAGATTGCCAAGGCTGCTCTGATTTTTTTTTTTAATATTTATTTCTTTGTTGTAGTTGGACACAACACCTTTATTCTTTCTATCTATCTATCTATCTATCTTTTTATTTATTTTTATGTGATGCTGAGGATCAAACCCAGGGCCTCACACATACTAGGTGAGCGCTCTACTGCTGAGCCATAACCCCAGGCCCTGCTCTGATATTGAAAAGTCTGCCAGCAGAAAGGAAACAGAAATAGCAAATCCTCAGCTGTGGATTTCAGGGGTGCAGGGAGGTGCTTTAGAAGCAAGAAGAAAGAGCCGGGTGTGGTGGCACACACCTATAATTCCAGCAACTTAGGAGGCTGAGGCAGAAGAATTGTAAGTTCAAGGTCAGCCCCAGCAACTTAGTGAGGCCCTGAGCAACTTAGTAAGACCTGTCTCAACATAAAAAGTAAAAGGGCTGTGAGATGTGGCTCAGTGGTAAAGTGTGCCCCTGGGTTCAATTCCCAATTCAATTAATAAATAACCAATTAAAAACTATATATGTGAAGAAAGAACGAGCCTCAGAGCTAAATTCCCACAGAGACCAGGAAAGGCACAGGGATGCGGAGGCCCACACTCAGGAAGGGGCAGTGACTGTAGGATGACAGGCTTCCAGAAGAGCAGGCTCTCCCCATGGGAACACACACGCTGGAGAAGCAGAAGTCTGTCCACACAGAGTCCCTAGTTAGGAGCTCCTATCTCCAAGTGGTCATGCCTTGGTCTCAACTGCTTTCACCTCCGGGGGACTCCAGAGAGGTTGTGTTGCAGCACCAGAGCCAGGATGAGCAGGTGGGCAGGTACTGTCACACCAGGGTGGACAGAATCCCACAAGAGGGGCAATGCTCAACTTTATGTGTCCCCTGGCCTGGGAACCCAGATTTTGGTCAAACACCAGTCTTGACATGACTGGGAAGGTCTTTTTCAGATGTGGGGAGCAGATAAACTTGTAGGTTCTTAGGTAAACCAGGTGACCCTCTGAGATGGTGGGCCACATTCAATCAGCTGAAGGTCTCAGGAGGGAACACTGAGGTGCCCTGGTAAGAGGGAAGTCGGCCTCAGCCAGCCTTCACACTCCCGCTGGAACCTCTGCTCTCCCCTGGCCTCCACGGTGCTGGTCTGCTTTGCACATCTCAGACTAAAATGCCCACAACCATGAAAAACAAGTCCTTAAAACAAAACCCCTCTCAGGCTAGGGTGTGGCCCAGCAGTGGAGTGGAGCGCTTATCTAGCATGTGCAAGGCCCTGGGTCCCCTCCCTTGCATCTCAAAAATAAAGTAAATTTCTACATATACACATGTGCATGCACACTCTATTAATTCTGTTTCTTTGAAACCTCTGACCAATACACTAATATTCCCGAAAACTCTGCTTGCCACACTTCTGGACCCAGCCGTGCACAAACCAGAAAGCTTCCAGGAAACTGACTTCTTTCTCTTATTTTTTTTGGCATTGGGGCTGGAACCCAGGCTCTGGCACATGCTAGACAAATGCTCTACCACTGAGCCACTCCCCTAACCCCAGGACCTGAACTTAAACCTCCCTGAAGGCAAAGGTCAGCCAACCTGGGAGGGTCCCAGGCAGCAGGAGCATTGCTGAATTCCAACTACAAGTGGGCTTCCTTGCACTCAGGGTCCCTGGAGGGGGCAGCTGGACAGCAAAGGTCCCACTGCCTCTCCAACCTCTCTCATTTCCTGGGGTTCTATTCCCACTCTGCTACCTGCTCACCTTTCTGGCCATGATGAGGCCCGATGGCCTGTGCTGGACCTTGGTGACCACCCCGCCATTGCCAGCTCCCAGCTCTGAGATCCTTTCAAAGTCGTCGTCCTTGAGCTCACCAACCTTGGCCTTCTGCGTCAGGAAGGCCTCTAACCGCTTCTTTTGCTGCTCGTCCAGCTCCAGCTCCTCCAGCTTCTTCTGCAGGTCCACCAGGTTTGCCCTGTGCAGTCCAAGGGCACAGATCAGCAGGGGGCATGTTGAAAGGTGGCAAGATGACTCCACCTAGCCATGATCACAAGCAGCCATGTACCAGGCCAGAGGAAATCAAAGGGGCAAGGGCCTAATGCCAGATCTCAGGGATCACCATCTAGCAGCAATGAGACATGTGTGCACCCCCACCACAAGTGCATGATTGGAACTGAAGGCCAGACCCCTACTTGCAAATTTCAGGAAAACTTGGGGACAAGCTGCAGCTCAAGGGACTCAGGAGGTCTCTAGACCACAACAGAAAATGAAGGAACTGGGGGTCAGGACACCGGTCTTTGCCAGGAACAAAGGACTAGCACCAAGGGGTGGAAGGTAGAGGCTGCATCTTTATTTTGAGACAGCCTCACTAAGGTGCCCAGGCTGACCTTGAACTGATCACCTCCCAGTCTCCTGATGGGATGACAGGTATGAATCACTGTACCCAGCCCCTGTATTATTTTAATTTTCAAGAATTAAAGACCAGCACTTGAGGAGAAGGGGGAGGGGTGCAGACAAGCCCAGGGCATGCTGTGCAACCAGCACCCCCTCTGTTACTGCAGACCTCATGTGTCACATGGACACTTGTGGCCCTAAACTCAGTGCTACTGCACCAACTGTCTACTGTACTTTACTGGGCACAAGCAATTTTCAAAGGAAATTTTGACGAGCTATTTTTAAGAACACCTTGACTTTCAACCTGATCCTGGAGTAAAACACAGCTTCCTGTAACAGGTAGATACTTTAGTTCAATGATAATAAGACCCCAACACTGTCCAACAGAGCAGGAGGAAGTCGCGTACGCAATTTAAAAATTTCCTAGGGCAGAGAATATGGCTCAGTGGTAGAGTGCTGGCCTAGTATGTGCACAGCTCTGGGTTCCATCCCCAGCACTGCAAAAAAAAGAAAATAAAAATGTTTAGGATATGTGTTTTAAATGGTAAACAGGTGAAACTGCTTTTAGTACGATATTTAACCCACCAAAAGCATCATTTTCAATGTGTAATCAACATATGAACATTACTGAGTATTTACTTCTTTTGCATTAAGTTTGAAATCTAGAAGGTGCACATCACACTTACAGCTCTCCTGGACAACTTGGATGTGTCACTGCCAGGGCTGGCTGCAGCCAGGGGGAACTGGATCAGACGGGGCAGCTCTAAGTGAAGGTCTCTACAGGAGACTGGCCATATCCAGCAGTGCACAGCCACCCACTCAAGAATGTGTTAAGTCAAGGTCCACAGCCATTGAGGGGGTTTAAGCAGCAGACAAGGGGAGACTGGATGCTCTACCAGGAACCTTCTATCCTGAAGTCCCAAATTATTTACCTATAACTTTTTATTTATTTTTTTAAATTTTTTTTTGTAGTTATAGATGGAAAGTATGCCTTTATTTTATTTATTTTTATGTGGTGCTGAGGATCGAACCCAGTGCCTCACATATGCTAGGCAAGTGCTCTGCCACTGAGCTATAGCCCCAGCCCCTACCTATAACTTTTTAAAAAATACTTTTGTAGTAGTAGATATTGCACCAAGAGCGCTCTACTCAGCCATTTTTCGATTTTATTTCATATAAGATCTTGATAAAATGCTGTGGCTGGCCTCAAACTTACAATCCTCCTGCCTCAGCCTCCTAAGGCACTAGAATTATAGGCATGGGCCACCGTGCCCGGTTTCTGTCTCTAAGAAGCATGAGCCAAGGACACACAGATCAGAATACAGGTGACCTGCTGGCTTGGTGATGATGCCTGAGCTGGTACTGCAAAGGCCTACAGGAAGGCAGGGCAGGCACTCTTCCTAGGGCCATAGATACTTCACTTTATTCTCATCAAAACCAGGTAGGTGGGCTAGGTGCGGTGGCACACACCTATAATCCCATGACTTGGGAAGCTGAGGCAGGAGGATGACAATCTTGAGGCCAGCCTAGGCAACTTAGCGAGACCCTGTCTCAAAATTAAAAAGTAAAAAGGCTGGGGATATAGATAAACCACCACTTGGTTGGTTCAATCCCCAGTACCACTAAAAACAAAAGAATCAGGAGCCAGATGCAGTGGAGCACGCCTGTAACCCCAGCAGCTTAAGAGGCTGAGGCAGGAGGACTGCTAGTTCAAAGTCAGCCTCAGCAATGGCAAGGTGCAAAGCAACTCAGTGTGATCCTGTCTCAAAATAAAATACAAAATAGGGCTAGGGATGTGGCTTAGTGGTTGAGTGCCCCTGAGTCCAATCCGCAGTAGCTGCCCCCCCACCCAAAAAAAGAAGAATCAGGAGGAAGGGCTCATGGAGTGCCAGGCCGGAGGAACAGACTCCAGTGGCTAAATACATAAGGTCACAACATCATGCAAGAAGCCCCAAAGCCTGAACCAGGAGCCTAAGCACAAACTTATTGGGCACCTGTTGAACAATGACCTGAAGACGAAACGGCAAGATACTGACTCATTGCAGAGAGAGAGCAAGGAGAGAACACCAACCAATGAGCATGCTTACTGGCTGTGGCTGAAGAGGCAGCTCTGGGCCAGACTTCTGAAGGCCTGGGACATCTATGATGCACCCTGAAGCCACTCAGTAGTCTACCTTAAATGTAATGGGAACTCAATTGGGGTATGTGTATATGTAAGTGCAAGACGTGTCTGGAACCCGAGGCCGGCGTCCTCCACTGGGGAATCAATCCTTCAAAGGATGAACTCCAGAAAACGTGAAAGAAAATACGCAGGAAGAGAAGGATAAGGGGTGGATTTTTAAATGTCCTCATGCCTGGCTGTGACGGTGTTAGCTAACACACATGTGCATGGAATCCCCACCCTTGTCCAGGCTGAGTGGCAAGACCAGGAAACACAACGTACACTCGTCCCCTCTGTCCTCATGGGGACACCCTGCCCATCGTAGAGAACAGGAATGAAGAGGTCACTGTGGCACGACCTTCCAAGTGTGTGTCCCCAACATACCAAGCCCGTCTCCTCCTCACAGGACACGATTTTGCTGTAGAGTAGATGAAGTACCCCCATCACCCCTGAAGGCATCCCTGCCATCCCCTTCTCTGGCTTCTCTGCAGCCCTGAAAACCTGTCACCCTCCAGGGCCTAAGGCCTTCTTACCTCCCCACCCGGCCTCCAGAGGCTGTCCTAATCTGTTTGCTTCAGAACCTGCTTTCTAGGGTCTCATCCCTGCCTCTGAATGCCCCCCATTCTTGGCTCCCCAGCCTCTTTCCTTCCTGGGGGCATCCTAAGCACTCTCCCCAGCTTCAGGGGCCTCCCCCACCCCAACTAGCAGGACCTTTTCATTATGTTCTTGGTCTCAGGAGCCCTTCCCCACTCCCTGAGACCCCCCACATCCAGACTTCTGAGGGACCATCTTTTACTATGACTTCACCCCTTGGGTCGTCCCACTACCTTTCCCCACAGGGACCTCAGGACCCCTTACCTGGTCCTGTCACTCGGGCAACCCCATCACCCTGATGGTCCTCGAGAAACCTCTCAGCCCAGTTCACTGCTACCCCCTTCTGTTCTCAGGGAATGCTTTCATCCTCATTTTATTATCCAGGGACCACCTAGATAATAGGTGGTCCTCTTTTTTGGTACTCAGGGGTATCTCACCCTGTCTCTTCCCCTAAGGGCCACCCCTTGCCATAGCTCAGGAATTCATCAGGGACCCCCACCCCATCCCCTCCTCCCAGGAACCCCAACTCCTGCTCTCTTCACAGGAATCCCACACAGCACTCTCCTCTGGGACCCCCTCCCTGGCCTCTCCAGCAGAGGACCCCCCCCATCTCTCCTCCCTGAGACCCCCTCCCCGCCTCTCCTCCAGCAGACCCCCTCTCTGGCCTGTCCAGCAGGGGACCCCCTCCCTGCAAACCCCACCACCACCCCTCTTCCAGGGGACCCCCTCCCTGACTTCTGCAGCAGGGGACTCCCTCTCCCTGACCTCTGCTCCCGGGGACCCCCGCCCCGCGCTCTCCTCCCGGGGACCCCACCCCCGCCTGTCCCCGCGTCGCCGGCCGAACCCCGCCACTCACTCGGAGGCGCCCTCGCTGGTTGGGGACGGGCCCTCGGCGATGGCGGGGTTGATGGTGAGGGCCGGCAGCACCGGCTTCCTCCGGGCCAGCATCGGGGCTCCGCGGGCCGGCGGCGGCGCCTCAGCCGGGGCCCATAGGGGGCGGGCCGCGAGCGGGCGGCGCCGACGCGAGTCGGGGGCTGCGGCCGCGGCCTAGGCCGGCGCCGGGCGGTAGGGCAGGGGGCGCGGTGGACCCGGGCAAGGGGCGACTAGGGTGATGCGGCTGAGACGAGGGGCCCGCCGCCACCGAGGTCCCGGCGAGGCTGACGCTGCAGCGGGACCCGGGAGGCCGAGGGAGGGGAGGGGAAGGCCACGAGCTCGCGCGCCGGCCTCTCGCGAGAGCGAGAGCCGCGGGCCCCGCCCCCGGCCGCGGCGCGTGCGCAGCAGCCCGAGCCCGCCTCGCAGGGGAAAGGGGCGGAGACCGACTCGAGGCGGTTTTCCGGAGCGTGCGCACTCCTACGGCGCTGGCGCGCGTGCTCCTGGGGCGGGGGGCGGAAGGGACGCGGCGTCGGGTGTGCTGAGCGGACGCTGCCGAGCGCCGGCAGCTGGAGGGCGTCCGGGTCTGGGACCGAGTGAGACAGCAATCCTGAGTCTAGTGGGCGACCTGTCCAGCTTCGGTGGACTTTTGTCACCAAGTGTGTGCACACACCACAACATTCTTTCATGAGATGAAGGTGACTTTAGAATATCTAAAAAGTCATGTTTTTAACCGACAAAACCGTGGGGAATTACCGTGTGCATGTTGAGACATTTAAATTGCAAAATACGTGCAACATGGAGTTCTGTTTTAACCTTCTTAAAAGATGTTCACGCAGTTCAGGGGCGTTGGGTGCATTTTCAGTTTTGTGCAGTGGTCCCCCATCTGTCGCCAGAGCTTTTCTCATCTTGTCAAACTGAAGCTCTGTCCCCGTTAAACACCGACTCCCCTCCCCTCCCATCCTCTGGCACCCACCGAATACGTCCTGTCTCTGGAGCTGAGGACTCTCAGGACACTTGTGAGTGGGTCCTGCAGCACGTGTCCTTTGGTGTCTGGCTTAGTAGCATGATGGCCTCAAGGGCCAGCCACGTCGTAGCAGGGCTGCCTTCCTTCTGGGGAATGCTACTCTTCCTTTGTGTGGATGGTACATTTATCTTGGGTGGACACTCGAGTTGTCTCCATGTCTTTGGCTGTTTAAGTCACAACTGCTGTGAACTTGCACAAATCTCTCTGAGCCCCTGCTTGCACTCCTTTGGGTACAGACTTAGAAATGGGACTGCGGGATTGGATTGGAGGGTGGCTCTGTATGATTTTTTTTTTTTTTTTTTTGCAGGGCTGAGGATGGAACCCGGAGCCTTGCACATGCTGAGCCCATCCTCAGCCCTGTTGACTTTCTAAGGACCATCTTACTGTTTACATGAATTTGTAACTTTGTAAGATGAAGTGAGCACCAAAAGAGAAAAAGGAAAGAGCACATGGCACACAATAAAGGCCAGTCACTTAAAATACCTTTTGTCGAGCCTCTGAGCATCCATGCGCAGGTCACAGAAGGCGCACTCTGGGAATCGCGGGAGAAGACATGAAGAAAGAAGGATTTGGTGAATGCCTTCCTGCATGGTCCAGCTCAGTTTCTTGTGGCTCCCCGACTCAGCCCTGCCCATTTTCAATCCAGCAGCCCTGTAGTTATTCTTTTATCAGTTTGTGGTGCCCTTTATGGGCCCAGTACTGTGCTGGACAGCAGAGACACAGTGTTTAAAAAAAAAAAGTGCACAGCAGGAGACTCTGGAGGCTGAAGCAGGAGGATCTCAAGTTTGAGGCCAGCCTTAGCAACCTAGTGATGCCCTAAGCAACTTAGTGAGACACTGTCTCGAAATGAGAAACAAAAACGTAGAGAAAGTAGCCCTTTTTGTAGAAACACCCCTGGCTCAATGTCTAGTACAAAAGAAAACAACAACAACAAAAAACTAATATGGGTTGAGGATTAGCTCAGTAGTGGGGCACCTGCCTGCTTTTCTAGCGTGTGCCAGGCCCTGGGTTCCATTCCTAGCACGGCCAGAAAAAGAAAAAGCAAAGAAGAAAAAAAGATACATCAGACACCCACAAATAAACACCCTTGGTCCTCCGCCCCCCAGGTGAGAGCTCCTCCAGCCTCCACTGAAGCCGGGCCTTCCCAGCTCTCTTCCTGTCTGCCTCCCGTTCCACCCTCTTTGTTTATTCTACCTCTGGCTCTGTGTGATCTTTTTTATTGAGCTGTAACTTACATCCAGTAAGCTCACCATCCTGAATGTCCCCCCCACCGAGCCTTTACAGCTGTGTCCACCCAGGAAACCATTCATCTTGCTGCTAATTCTCCCCTCCGCCTCCATCTGGGGCTGGCGTGTGGCTCAGGGGTAGAGCACTTGCTCAGTGCACAGGAGACCCTGGGGTCTGTCCCCATCGAGGCAAAAATAAAATAAGGGAGACAGAGGGGAGGCGGCTGACTTTTCAGCATCTGCTCTTTTCTGTGGTGTGAATCTTCCCAGTGTCCTTCAGCCTATGACAGCTTCACAAGTCATCAGTGTCTCGTGCCTATCAATAATGTGTCCCTTTTTACCACTAAGTAATATTCCATTTTTTGTCCACTCGATTTCTTAAAAATCCATTCAATCCACAATTTATCCATTCACTGGTTGAGGTTCATTCAAGGCTGTTGAATGTCCCTTCCACCTGGACAGTGAGTCCTTCCCTGTTGGAGGGCGTCTCGACAATTCATAGACTTTTTATTATTGTTGATCTGGTTTTGGGATCTAGCCACAGGCCCAGCACGTTTCATTGTGTTTTGTTTTGAGACGGTTCTCACTGAGTTGCTCCACCTTTCAACCCTCCTGCCCAAGCCTCGGGAGTCGCTGGGATCACAGGGGCGGCCGCTGCCTTGGCTTCCTTGGCTCAGCCTGGTGGTTCTGGGGTCCTCTGGGGGCGGTGGCAGCCGTCACCTGTTCTCCTCCTACGGGAGAGTGTGCGGCATGCATTTGGGGACTCGCCCTTGCTGCAGGTCAGCACGTGAGTTCTTCAGGAGAACAAAGACAGGGGTCTTCCCTAATGGCGAGGCTCCAGCCTGCGGTGCCTCACCGAGGCCCTGCTACAGGCCACCTTTGCTCACAGTCACTCGGCCCCCAGGGGTCGCCAGTCCCTGCCCCCTGGAGCTCGGGACACACCCAGCTTCGGGTTGGCACATGGCTACTGTTGAATTCTGACTCGTGGCCCTGCACCTGTCTTGTCCACTGGTACTGCCCCTTGGAGGACAAGGAAGACCTTGCATCCGTCTCCTCTTCCTCGACGGCTCCTGCAGGTGCTGGGTCTGCAGGTGCCTCGGAGGAGTGGACAGTGTCTTTGTCCTCATCACCTGATCCCTGGCACTTAGTATCAGCCAGGAGCAATGATGCTGGGTTACAGGGCACAGGGCACCACACCCTTGCCCAGCGTCACCGCTCAGCACTCTGCACAGTTTGCTGTGACCTTCTCGAGCTGCAGGACTTTCTACGTGTCACCCGTTCCAATAACTTTCTTCTGAGTTACATCTTTTCCCTGTTCCAGGGACTTGGGCAGCTCCTGAATGGCTCCTCCCAGGAAATAAATTTCCGATAGCTTTCCTGGTAGATTGAACCCAAGGTGACACTTATCTTGTTTAGGCACCGAGTAGAATTAATGTCCCCTTGCTCCTATCTGGAGACACACCTCACTTTATCTGTCACCTGGGCAATGGATCTAACTGAAAGAACAGAGGACCCTGCCCGAGGACGAGTGGGTCTCAGCTTGAATATGGTGGGACCAGGAAGTTCACGTCCAGCTGTGTGCAAACAGGAGATGCCCGTGGAAATGTCCTCAGTGCCCTGCATGGGAACCGCTGGGTTCCAGTGCAGCCCCGTGAGCTGGGCTCCAGGCTCACAAGGAAAACCACGTAAAAGAGATTGCAAAGCTCGAGTTACAGAGATCTTGCTTGGACACCATTTTTATAAGATGAAGATGGCTTGGCCTTATTTGTCACGAGGGAGATGCAAATCTGAACCATCGCCAGCGCCAGGGCAGGTGCAGTGCACCTGTGGCCAAGGGCCCGGGGCTGAGGCGGGATCTCCCGGGGCTGGGATTTGAAGCCGGCCTTCGTGACCCAGGGAGGCCCCGCTCGGAAACAAAACCACCAAAAAGGGTGGGGGCGGGGGTGGGAACCACCCCATAATAAAAAGCTAAAATAGAGACAGTGCCAGGCCAACTGGGACTGTGAGCAAGTGGACTCACACATGCTGGGGGACGCGAGATGCTGGGCAGCGTGGGAACACCTACCGGAGGGCACGGCGGCTCCACTCCTGGTGTTGACCCAAGAGCACTGAAGTCAGGCTCACAGACCCCAAACACCAACGTTCCTGAAAGCTTTATTTGTACTAGGACCAGAACTGGAAACAGCCTTGAACGAACCTCAACCAGTGAATGGATAAATTGTGGATTGAGTGGGTTTTTAAGAAATCGAGTGGATAAAAAGTGGAATATTACTTAGTGGTAAAAAGGGACACATTATTGATAGGCACGAGACACTGATGACTTGTGAAGGCGGTCATGGGCTGAAGGCAGTCCCCTAATGCCACATGCGGTACCAGGCCATTTGTGGGACATTCTGTTAATAACAACATTACGTGGATGGAGAAGCGGTCGTCGGGGTCCAGGGTCAGGGCTGGGTGAGGTGTGCAGTAAGCTGATTCCCCCATGGAGCTGGGCACGATGTGTCCTGGTTGTGGTGGTCATGCGAATCTACATATGTCACCAAATCTCATAGAGCTCCATGGACATCAAAAACAATCAGGCAAAAAAAAAAAAAAAACTGTGTGTAGAAGCTTAGGGTTAGGGCTAGGGCTGGGCTCAGTGGTAGAGCGCTTGCCTAGCACATGTGATGCACTGGGTTCAATTCTCAGCACCACACTAAAAAAATTAGGAAATAAAATAAAGGTATTGTGGCACTTGACCACTGAGCCACATCCCCAGCCCTATTTTGTACTGTATTTAGAGACGTCTCACTGAGTTGTTCAGCGCCTGGCTTTTGCTGAGGCTGGCTTGGAACTTGAGATCCTCCTGCCTCAGCCTCCCGAGCTGCTGGGATCACAGGTGTGCGCCACGGGCTTAAACGATTTTTTAAAAGGAAAACTAAGCATTTTGAAGGTCAGGGGTGGAGATTTGGTGACCTGTTTTCTTCGGCCTGAGCTCCTCATAGTTCTGCCTCGACTGTTGCCCCCGGAGCTGCGGCCGGCCAGCGCCTTGCAGGGCCAGCACTCGCCCATCTTGGCGTCTCCGGTTCTGACCGCCCTGTGCACTGTGAGCAGGTCCCTGAGGTCTCTGAGCCAGCAAAGGAGGCTGCGTCGGGCCCTGTGCAGTGCGAAGGCGTGGGGCAGACACACCTGGGCTCAGAGCCGCACCCTGCAGGTGCCGGGGGTTCTCATCCTAAATCCAGCCCGGATTAAAGACCCCGTCCGTCCCCGGCGGAGCTGGCCAGCTTCTCCCGCAGCCTGCAGCACAGCCTCAGCGGCCCGCCGGGCGCTGCTGATCTCCCGCTCTAGCTCAGAGGACCAGAGAGGAAACAGGTCCTAACAAAGGTAAGGCCCACACCTGCTGGTGGACCTAGGCCGTGCAGCTGCTGAGGGGAGCAGTTCAGGGGCTCCCCAGAAGCTGGCTGCCAAGTCACCGACGGCCCAGCAGCTCCACCCCAAGCTGCCGGGAGAGAACTGGGGACAGGGAGGCCCACCTGGCCGGACACGCGCAGCTGCTCTGTCCCCCGCAGCCCTGTGGAAGCAGGCTGGGTGCCACCCAGTGGTAGGGTACCTGGTCCCCAGGAAGCCCGAGGCTCCGTCCCCAGCACCGTCCCAGACTCCAGGGATGGAGGAGCCGGTGGACAGGCGGCCCCCTGTACGGTGGACGTTATTCAGCTGGAGACAGAGACGAAACCCTGGCACCTGCTGCAGCACAGGTGGCCTCCCAAGGTCCCCAGACGGCCTTGGTCACGACTGTTCCTGTGGCACCTACAGAGCAGGTCCCAGGAGACAGGCTAGATTCTGGCTGCAGGAGCCGGGAGGAGGACTGGGTGACTCCTTCCTGGGTGCCGGGTCTCCTTTTGGGGGAGATGCCGTATTTTGAAACGGAATAGATCTGGCAGTCAAAACGCTGTCCATGGACTAAGGGAGGCCGTGTGGTGCACTGTAAAGCGGTGAATTTTGTTTTGTGAGTCTCGCCTCAGTTTTTGTTGCGCTTGGGAGTGAAACCAGGGGAGCTCTACCACTGGACCGCACCCCGACACTTTTTATGTATTTTGAAACAGGGCCTCGCTAAGTTGCTGAGATTGGCCTCAAACTTGTGATCCTCCTGCCTTAGCCTCCAGGGTACTGGAATGATAGGTTTTTACCTCCACGCTTGGGCTGAGTACATATATTTTTTAAAAATTATGCCAGCGTATGTGTAACAAGCTACAGTAGTGTAAGCATAGGGATGGGGTT